AGAGAATGAAACAGGATTTTTGTTTGAAGAAAAATTCCCATCTTCGTTTTTTTAGGATGTAGGAGCAATTTTAGTGATGACAATTGATGTTGAATGAAATCTAAATCGTGTTGGACATTCTCTGACTTCGTTTGGAGATTTACCTGATACTAGTGTAGCCGGCCTGCCCTTGCCCCTCACCTCCCGTGAATCGTAATGAGCGGACAGGTCGGCTAAATAGAAAACAATAAAAAAATGTAACAAAGTTCGGAGACGAGTAAATACTCTGCGTTGTGTTCTGTCATCCTGAGATGTGGGCGACTCCACAACAGATGAGTACCAGAGGTTTGTGAAATGCCAACAATGTATTTCAAAGTGTTCTTCCAAGGAGCATGACCAGAGACACCCTCATCACCCTCCATGTCACGCAATATCTCGGCTAAGTCCCTCGGCACGGAATCCACCCCAAATCTGAATTTGAGGATATGCCCCGTACTCTGCTTGTGCACGTGAGCATCAGGGTCCCTTTCCTGATCATCATTACCTTTCACTTATAATACAACAACAAAAACGCACCTCAGTTTTTCAGTTTAATTTATTTGGTATAGCCCTGTGAGCCATTCGGCTCTTCAATCGGGTGCAACCGCAACAAACAAAAACATGAACAAGAAACATCTTAAAGTGACTACGCACAAACAGAAAAATCCAGGAAAAAACAGTAAAGTCTTCCAGAAAAAGCACCGTTTATCAATGCTGTGTGAAAAAAATCCCAGTGGGATGCAAGTCAAACAATAACAACCATAAGACAATTTAGATTCAAGTTATCAGTCTAACTCTGTACCACACCTGGCTACCCATAGCCACATGCAGCTGCGAACCGGAATATAAAACGGTTTCCTTGCGTCGCATATGATGCAAGACGTTGCAGCGTGCGCAATTATAAGTGTAATTCGTCACAGACAAGCCCACACTGGCCACGCTCGCATGTCGATGTAATCAGCAAAGAGGTTTCATGCTGAATGATTTAAAATTTTAGGTGAGTGATGGAGAAGATGCAGCAGTAATGGGACAAGGACTGGTTTCAACGCCTGACCTAATCAACAATATGAATAGTTTTACAATGTATTTTGTAAAAGAGTTGCTATCCTAAAAGGCATTTTCTGAAATGTAGTGAGGCATGTCTATGAGAAAACTTTAAGCTGCGGTTGACCGGTGAAGACATTGTGATACGAACAATATGAAATTGCAGAATATTGTATTTTGGAGGAAAATAAATTAACAGAATATGGGAGTTGCCATTGTTTAACACAGTCTAGGGGTGTGTTGTGTGCGTGATGGATGAGGTGACAGTGACGGCGAGTTTGATAGGTTGAGTGACAATGGAGTGAACATATAGAGCAGAGTAACTGGGTGGGAGACGATCAGCAGTTTGCTCTTCCAGTTCCAGACAACCCAGTCAGGAGCACAGATGTAGAGACATAAATAGCGTCTCTGTGGCATATAAGCCGACTACTACCACAACGATTGAGTGAATGCGCACTTACCTCTCGATGGGGGCCGACGGGGATGCGTCAGAGAAGCGGGCCCCGCAAAGCAGGGTCAAGTCGGAGAGAGAGAGAGGACGTGCCGACACAGAGTGGTGAAGGGGGCCCAGAAACGGGGGCCGGGGGGCCATGTGATGCTGGCTCCGGTTCCGTCGCGAGAGACCGAGGAAGGGGCATGGCGAGAGGCGGAGCGAGGCCACGCTCACGGCGAGAGGACAAAGTCCTTAAAGATTCATGCAACTATTTTCATACGAAAGGCAATAAAAGCAAATTGTTACGAAGGCAAAGTATACGGTAATCAATTCATGAGCAAGATTACATAATTGCGAAGTGTCTTGGAACAAGGGTGTGTGGCAGTACGCCTTCTTCAGCAAATACTCATTGATTAACTAAGGCTTCATGGATTCATACATTCTTCATGGATTCATACATTTAACCCTCAATGAACACGTCTGTTAATTGGGTAACAGAACAAACGATTACTTCAGAGTAACACGAGCATATACGGCAAATAGGAATAAAAGTCCTTAAAATTCATGCGATCACTCGCTGGTATCCAGCAAGGTCAGAATTCGCCCCAAAAAGATACACGGACTCAAACAAAAGCACTACCTACGCATCAACTCTGCCAAGACATCCCTCCCAGAGCTCACTCAATTATTCCAACACAGCCTTGAGCAGTCCCTACACGCCACACCAGATGGAAGCGTGGAAACATAGTGGGCATACATTAGAGACGCCATCTTCAATGCAGCCATAAATACCTTCGGCAAGCAGACAAGGCGGAACACAGACTGGTTTGAGAACACCTGGCTATATTGGAACCCATCCTCCAAGCCAAACACATGGCGCTCCTGAAGTACAAGAAAGTCCCAAGTACAGAATCATTAAGGGCTCTGAAAACTGCTCACAGTGCAAACGACCGCCAGACGCTGCGCCAACAACTACTGGGTGAACCTCAGTAGTAGGATCCAACTCGCCTCTGATACTGGCAATATCCGTGCCATGTATGAACGCATCAAGACAGCCTTTGGTCCAAACATCAGGAGGATTGCCCCCCTTAAATCCAGCACAGGGGCCATCATCACTGATAAACAAGAGCAAATGGCCAGGTGGGTAAAACACTACTCAGAGCTCTACTCGTGAGACAACAGTGTGTCAGAAGCTGCCCTTGCTGCTGTAAAGCCCGTACCAACGATACACGAACTGGACAATGTTCCAACCTTGAAGGAACTTGACAACGCCATCAACTCACTAGCCAGCGGCAAGTCACCGGGACAGGACAGCATCACACCTGAGGTACTGAAATGTGCAAAACCCGCCGTCCTCACAAAACTACATGAACTTATCTGCCAGTGCTGGGAAGAAGGAGCAATGCCTCAAGGCATGAGAGACTCCAACATCATCACCTTATATAAAAAACAAGGGTGACCATGGCGACTTCAATAACTACCGCGGCATCTCCCTGCTGAGCATTGTGGGGAAAACCTTTGCCCGTGTGGTCCTCAGCAGGTTACATATACTAGCTGAGAGGACGTATCCTGAGGCTCAGTGTGGCTTCAGAGCAGGAAGGTCTACAATTGACATGCTCTTCTCTTTGGGTCAGCTACAGGAGAAATGTCGAGAACAGAGAATGCCCCTGTACTTGGCATTCATTGATCTTACAAAAGCCTTTGGCCTCATCAGTAGGGGAGGCCTCATCAAAGTCGTCAAAGTGATCGGCTGTCCACCGAAGCTGCTGGCAGTCATCTCCTCTTTCCATGACAACATGAAAGGAACAATACAGCACAGCGGCACCACCTCAGAGGAATTTCCCATACTCAGCGGTGTAAAGCAGGGGTGCGTGCTTGCCCCAACACTGATTGGCATCTTTTTCTCACTTATGCTCACACATGCCTTTGGGACAGGAGAAGAGGGAGTCTTTCTTCATACAAGATCTGATGGCAAATTATTCAACCTTGGCCGTCTCAGATCCAAAACCAAAGTCCGCAAAGTCCTCATCAGAGAACTCCTATTCGCTGATGATGCTGTGCTGACAGCTCAGACAGAACAAGGTTTGCAGACACTCATCGACCACCTTGCCGATGCCTGCAACAACTTTGGCCTGCAAATCAGTCTAAAAAAGACTAATGTCATGGGCCAGGATGTCAGAGACACCCCTTCCATAAACATTGGCAGCTACACCCTGGAAGTCGTTCAGGACTTCACCTACTTGGGTTCTACCAATCACCTACAATTTGTCCCTTGTCACAGAAATTGACAAGCGCATTGGGAAGGCGTCAACAGCTATGTTCAGGTTGACTAAAAGAGTGTGGGAGAACAAATCCCTAACGTTCAACACCAAAGTACAAGTGTATCGGGCCTGCGTCCTTAGCACCCTCCTCTATGGGTCTGAGTCCTGGACAACATACGCCCATCAAGAACATCGACTAAACACATTCCGCCTCCGATGTCTCAGGCGCATCCTCGGTATCAGATGGCAAGATCGCATTCCCAACACCTCAGTTCTCAACTTGGCCAACATTCCCAGCATGTACTCTCTACTCGGTCATAGGCGCCTGAGATGGCTTGGACACGTGCGCCGCATGCAGGATGGCAGAATACCCAAGGATGTCTTGTACGGCGAGCTGGCATCAGGCACACGGGTCACCGGTCGCCCAGTCCTGCGCTTCAAAGATGTCTGTAAACGGCACATGAAGAGCTGCGACATCAATCCAAATGACTGGGAGAAATCTGCCGGCGACCGACTCAGCTGGCAGGAGGCTGTGAAGACAGGTCTCAGGAGAGGCGAGGAGAAAAGACGCACCGCTTGGCAGACCAAGGGGGAGCGACGTCAAGAAAAAAGCAACAAACACCTCTGGAGCTGCCACCGCATTCACTTCAGCAACTGCTGTGGCAAGGATTATCACTCAAGGATTGGCCTACTAAGTCATTCCAGGCGCTGCAAAACCTACAGCTGACCTCGTGAGGCGCAAAAAGAATTGTCTCTCGAGACACAAAGGCCCATGATGATGGTGATGACGGTTAACTTGTAGGCCTGTTAAAGTGTTAATAAATCGTGGTGCCTCCAGACATCAGCGTGTGCCTCGTCAGATACATACTACACAGACACCAGCCAGGGCAAAACCTCTCTCTCTCTCTCTCGAGAAGGAGCCCATCTTGAATGTCACGGCCACTGCACGAGATCCCTTCATGGAGCGGACTCTGAGAGCGGTGGCTGAGGCAGCCGAGCAGCTAGGGTTGTCGGCCCACCCGGAGATGACAGAGGCAGCGAGCGCGGTGCTGGAGACGCCGCCCCCCACCCCACTCCCCGCTGGTGGAACTCGGCTCCCTGGAAGAGGTAGGTGATACGGAGCGTCGCGCTGCGTCGACAAATAAACGCCAAGGGCGTTTCCAGAGCTGCCGTAACACACCGCGATATTTATGAGGGGGGCTAATTTAGCAGGGGGGGTTACATAATCGATTGTATTTGTCGGCTTATAACCCGTAGTGTCACCAGGAACGTGGGTCTACTTCTGTGACTGTTGCCGGTAGAAGGAATTCCACGATGACTGCTAAAGAGGTCTCCGGTTCTGCTGTTACAGGTACAGCAGTCATTCAAGCACACAACAGACAATCAATTCGACAACACACAAGTCCAACTCCATGTCGTTGACACTAGCTTGTAAATCGTCAATAACGCGCGGTGGTACATGCAGGTTTTTTTTGTTTGTTATTCGTGTTATTTTTATTACCGTTATCGTTACATGATAAGAAATACGTCAAATATATTAACTATTAAAACTGAAATTTTTACTTAAAAATTTAGTGACTGCAGGAATTCATATTCTTTGGTTCTTTCGGTAAAGTCACAAATATAGAAGAAGAATACTAAAATAAAATGAATACAAAATAATAACAAATAAAAACACAATGTAGACTGTAACCTAGTTCTTAATCAGAGTGAGTGTACTGGCAATCTATAATGTAGACTGTAGCAATGGTTATTATGCTGCGTTAGTGTACTGGCAGTCTATAATGTAAACTGTAGCTTGGTTCTTAACCTCGGTGAGCGTATTGGCAGTCTTTCATATTACCGAAAGAACCAAAGAATATTAAAACATAATATAATAATTCAATACGTAAGAAGCAGCAGAAGGTAAATTTAACATACGGTATCTGCCAATATTTAAACTAATGTGCTTCGTTTTTCTGTTGCTATTTGTGCTTGGGTACTACTGGTCACCGCAGCAGCGGCATCACCAAATAACGAATATTCTGGAAGCTCAGCTCATATCAAGATAACGAAAAAAGAATAGGATTTACCCTTTCCTGCAATAATACTGGAGGTTTACATTATGAGACCTCCTTTGCCAGTAACAAGATATAGAAATAGGTTTTACCCTTTTAACTGGCACAAAATCTGACACCTTTATTCAATGCATCATGTTTGCAATAACCACAACACAAGCAGTCAAAATGCAAACAAAAGAGACAACTCTGATAATAATATGCACTGTCCTTGAATTTGATTGGTTCCCACACGAGACGGCTTTTCTTAGAGCCTAGTCTGCACTGGTGTTGGACCAGAAGACGCCAAAAGGCGTACGACTGCTTGTGTTGTGGTTATTGCAAACATGATGCCTTGAATAAAGGTGTCAGTTTTTTGTGCCAGTTAAAAGGGTAAAACCTATTTCTAATACTGGAGGTGTTAAGATGGTAAAACACCAAATAGGCAAGGCATCAAATCTGCTTTAACTACACATGCTTGTGGTAAAACATGCGAACATTCTTTGATAATGTACGCATTATCTTTTAAACGGATTGGCCTTCACCAGAGACGGCCTCCTCTGGGGGACTGGTTTCACAAGTGTTGGACCAGAGAACGCCAAAAGGCGAACAGCACAAAGGCAGCATCTTAACACCTGCATTATTGCTGGAAAAAGTAAAGCGTATTCGTTTTTACTAAATCATATTGATAATTCCGTTATGTATTATTCCTGTGCAAGAAATAATTTGCTCGATTGCCCAGTGTAGACAGGCGGAGTCCAAGCCAAGTCGGTCGTGATGCTTTACCCACCTGTGTTAGTCAGTCGGGATTATCATTATCACCACCATTGTTACGCATGGTTATAAAGGAAACACCCCACTTGAGTCTCAAAGATCGTTTTAAGGAGGTAGCTGTCAATTGAAAAATGTGCAGCTACTTTTCAGCATTGGGATGTTTTGGCCAATACCCTCTTATACAGGGGGAAAACGTGCAAAGGTTCACACAGCATGGCGTCTAAGTCGGGAATATAACCTAGGAACTAATATTTAAAACTATTTCAATCGATTGAAATGGAATTCAGGCGAGACGCGCTTTACGAGCGCTCCATTCTTCATCGCAAACGACCTGCTTTGTGACATGCGGTCAATTGCCTTCACTAAACGCAACGGTTTGAAACTCCGTAACTTCAGGAAGACAACAATTGGGACCATATTCTTTACAACTTCCCCGCAAAGGAGCCTCAGAAGTAGGGGGAGGGGGAACGGAGAGGACAAACCTGGGAAGGGTGGGTGGCTGAGCTGGCTTCCTCGTGGTATGGACGCTAGAGGTGACGCTGGGGTGGGTGAAGAGGGAGGTCGAGGCAGTGGGTCCCTTAACGGGTTGGTAAAAAGGGGGTGCTTTGTAGAAAATGGGGGGGGGAGGGGATAGGGTGACGTCTCATCGGAGCCTACGGGGAATGCTGCAGCTGCAGGCTCGCATATTTCTCGACAGTGATACATAACACCATGGCATGATCGTTCTTGTCCGTTACGACGCTAACATGACGATGCATTACATAATAGTGCAATTTGATCATGCTGCCACTGACATGTTTTGAATAAATTATGCCTTTATCATGCTGTTGCTGATTAAATTATTATTTTTTATATTTCAGATTGTTGATATTTGCTTGCTCACATTTTAAAATGATGAAACATAAAGTGACAATTTACCACTGATGCCACTCTCGTGCCCACAGGAGAGGACAGAATCCTGCAGGTGCTGGACGATGGCACTGACCTGGTAGAGGTGGTGAGATCCATTAGTGAGGGTGAGGCCATGGTAAGAACACAGCTTCCCTTGCGAGCCGATAGTAGGGGATGTTAGAGGAAAAGTCATGTTTTACACTGACATTTCATTTCATATTTTATTTTAATATTCACCCCCACCCCCTCTGTTATTCTAATTGTTATGGTATCAGGTACTGGGACCTTGGTGAAAAGAGAGACCACATCAAAGCTGACGAGCATATTGTCAGGAGATAGTACAATGTCTTTGACCATAGAAACCAATTGGGTTGAGTTAAGTACTCCTGAGGTGGTCCTGCCAGTGAAGGGAAGCAGAGTATCTGACAGAAAGCAGGCTAGCTTGTAGGTAGGGGAGTTGATCGTGGACACGATGGGTCGTAGTGGGGTACCTTCTTTATGGATCCTGGGAAGACCATAGAATCTGGGAGGTCTTGCAGTGGAGGGTTTTAGGGAGGGACCTTTGGTTGGTTCGATTAGGGACGTCGAACTAGTGATGATGTTGTTGGTTTTTATCGTTAGACTGTTAGTAGAATCATTTTAAATTTTTGAGTAACTCCCATCATTGAGTAGGTCCTGGATTTTGTTGTTGTATGAGATTTTATCCATAGTGACAGTGGCATTGCCTTTGTCGGCCGAGAGGATGACTATGTCATCTCTTTATTTTAATTTAATTTTATGGTATTTCTACATATGTGACTTTACCGAAAAAAACCAATGAGTATATCATCTCTCTTTTTTAAATTTGCGAGTTCAGATCGCTCGTTTTTGCTGATGTTGCCAGTGGGTTTCTTAGCATTTTTAAGAATAGTGGCTATCTCAGCTCTTGCAACGTCTGCTTGGATGTGTCCTATACCTTTGAGGGATACATCAACCTGAGAGATGATATCCTCTACTGGTATATGTTTAGGGGTGACAGCAAAATGTAGTCCTTTAGACAGTACTGTTTTCAGGTTGTCAGAAATCGGGATGTTACTCTGATTAATAACGATTTTGTTAACGTCTAGTTTTGTGATGTGTGGTCCTGGGTTCTTCTTTGATAGGCGGTTGAATTTAGCGATCAAGTTAGCTTTGCATTTGACTGACAGTGAATCAGCAGAGGCAGCCGTCATGTTGTCAACGTGGTTCCAATCAGAAGGGGACATTTTTTGTGTTAACATTCAATTAGATTGTAGGAGAGTCCTGTCTAAACTATCGAGTTCAAATCGGAGTACTCTTATCCTCTCTGAGATTAGTGATAGGCTAGCCTTAACAGAATCCGTTTAGAGTTCGGTGAAGATACAGCAGCAGATGTGAGTGTAAAAGAGATGGGTATTACATTGTTGTCGCGGCATCTTTTGAGGAAGGTCAGCGTCTCGATGAGCTGTGACTTTTTATCTCGTCTGTTAAAAGCTCTAACAGATAGGTGAAAATCCTCCCAATAGAGGTCATTAATTCTAGATTTGAAGTTTTCGTGAGCAAGTATTCATACTTTTTGTTTTTTTTTCGGTAAAGTCACATAGGTAAAATAAAATAAAATAGAACAATTAAATCACGACGTTTTGGAGGCAACACAAGCTTCCGTCTTCAGGTGGAACAGTCACAGCAGAATATATGTCAAGTGCACAGTTCCAAGACGACTTGGATTATGTATAGGTCAGGGGGGGGGGGGGGGGGAGGAGCCAGAAAGGGACGTGGGTGGGTGGGAGGGCTGAGTTAAGCCACCTTTTGTTAAACTGCACAAAAGTAGATAAACAACCCTTTTGGTTTTCTGGCGGTGGGGTTTTTTCCGAGGGGAGGCGATGCAAGACATCAATTACAGACCAATTTCTTGAAACCTAAAAGGGAAACTACGAAAATGGCTGTAAAATTATAAGATACCTAAAGTTTGACATACAACCAGTGAGAAGTGGAAATGGCTGTACAATTAAAAGGCAATAATAGGGTTTTTCCCCTTTTTTCCAGCAACAAAACTGAAACCTTTTTTACAAGGATTCATGTCTACATTAACCACAATACCTGCAGTCAAATGCAAACAAAAAACATACTATGATAATATATGCATTGTCCTTGAAACTGATTGGTCCACACCAAGGGACGGCTTTCTTTTGAGCCTCGACCCAATTGGTGCTCGACCAGATGACGCCTTTTGGCGTCATCTGGTCGAGCACCAAATTCTTTCCAGAACAGGCTTAGCTCTTATCTCAGAGAAAATTAGACTTATACGCACCGAACTAGATCAGTTAGACAAGACATTCTACAAATCACACTTATCATTGACGGCAACAATGTCTACATCGGATTGGGAACATGTAGACAATATGACTGCCTCTTCAGCTGCCATTATGTCGACCAAATGTAAGGAAAACCTGATTTCCAAATTTAACCTCCTTTCAAACAAAAGACCGCACCCACACACAAAAAAGCTAGACGTTAGCAAAGTCGTAATTAATCGCAGTAACAGTTCTATTTCTGATGGTCTGAAATCCGTTTTAGCTAAAGGGCTATACTTTGCAGTCACACCTAAACACATACCAGTTAATGATATCATTGCCCAAGTATACGTGGCTCTCAAGGGCCACGTCTACTTGAGCGTCCAGCTTGTAGAACGAAGCGACCCTGGTCCCTCTCAAGGACCCACCTTATATCCTCCCATGTCGGGGCCAGCTCCGCCCTTGGCCCCATCCACCTTCGCGAGCATTCCAGCTCCCTCTCGATCCCTCTCGAGAGATCTCCCTGAACACGTGATCACCCCCTAGCCCCCCCCCCCCCCACCTGGGGCCTTCTCTGTGGACACTCCAGATCGCGTGTCTACGGGGTCAACCAGCGTGCCATGGCCCAAGGCAACCCTGTCCCTGGGCTGACACTCTCCCGCTCCCCCTTGTGGGAGCCCGCACTACGCGCTATGCGTGGTGCCGGCGCTATCCCAGCGCTCACCAATCCCCGCTAGGACTGGTACGACACCCGCCTACGGGGTGTACGCAATGATGGTGCATCGCACGCTGTGCTGTGCTAGAGCCGGCCTCACACAGCAACCCACACGATGCTGTCCACGACATAAGTACATCGCACGCCACAATCCACAATCTCCAAGCAGCACCATACAGTGACATCCCCGATGTCACTGTAGCGCGTGCTGCTTGGAGATTGGTAGACAATGGCATTAGGGGTAACAGCCCGTTCTACCAGTTGGACCTGTGGGCAAGGCACGGAGCCCTCTGGGGGATCCAGAGGGGTGCGGGGCCGAGGGTGGAGCCTGGCCACGCTGGGCAGGATAAAAGGCGAGCTCTGACTCACAGTCGGGGCTGCTACAATCTGGAATGGAACTCATCATGCCGTCGTCGTCGTCGTGATCTTCGCCCTCTTCAAGCTGTGGGTCTGGCAGCATGTTGGCTGTCGTGACCCGGTATGAAGTTATCCCCGAAGGCTGTGAAGGCCGGAATAAAAGAGAGAGTACCTCCTACTAGTGTCTGTGAATTAGAACACTACACATGTAAGAGGAAATCGGAATGCCTGGCGAAAGCTCATACATGCGAGGGAGCAATACTCTAAGCCATCGAGAATAGACACATTATATTCGTCTGCACTTTGCTGTATCCCCTTCACCTGGTTAAGCCAGGGTATGGCTCTTCAACGCCCATGGGAAGGGAGTTTGACAACATTTGTGCGATCCACCAACCCTTGCTACCACAGTGCTGGATCACAGGCCATGTGCATATAGCTATCATCACCCGACTGTGGAGTACATTACCCATTTAAAAATGCAACCTGAAAAAAAGGGTTTCACGTTGGCACTCAAAGGCCTTCTCTTACAAATTACATCACGGAACGTTTAACATCGATTGTGAAGCTGACGGCAGCATAGTAATTTTACCGTTAATAAACACACTGCAGGATTAACCAAGGCGGCTGCTGGATTTGAACCATGATCCTCTGCAACAGCAGCGAATCACTTGGACATGCGTGTGTGTGCATGCCTGTTTCATTCCCGCTCATGACCAGTCCTGGGCCACCCCTAGATGGACTCAGTATTAAAATGAGTACCTGGTATAGTGTTACAATCAGCATTTGGGAGACAAAGGCGACTGGGTGTGGCGTTGGTAGAGGCCGACCGAAATTCGGTTTCGGTTTCAACGCCGAAAGTTGGAAAATGGCCTCTTTCGGCATACTTTTGGTTTCGGCCGCAAATCATTTTTTTACTTTCGGTCTGGTTTCGGTTTCGGCCGAAACTGATATCGACTTTCAGTCGTCATTCGTCAACCGAAAATCTATTTTTAGATATCGACTTTCAGTCGTCATTCGTCAACCGAAGATCTATTTTTAGAATATAACGCTAATGCTACGTCTATCACTCTGCCTATCGGCCGGTCAGTCGGCGCTAGGCAATCCTATGCGATAGGCTGCAAACACACACATACACACACACGTACACACACAGTACACACATACACACACACGTACACACAAACACATGTACACAAACACACACACGTCAGCAGCAGCTTGGGAGCGAGGATACAGCCGCAACCATGGTCTGCTAATGTATATACGACCAGTCAATAGACGGCAGCCTAACTGGCTCAGTGCGGAAAAAATGTTGTTTCTTAACTACAACATTCGTTTGTTCGGATATAATTACTAAGTAAGTAACACGACTCTTACTGCAGGCTCTGAATGATTCGTTCTAGATTTATTTTTAATTAAAGTAGCATTGCATCATGACATATTTCATAAATCATGTATTCGGTAACTTCGGTGATATACCTTTCTGTTTCGGTCTCGGCCAAAAGTGTAGTTAAACTTTCGGTTTCAGCTTCGGTTTCGGCCGAAAGTCAATTTTTAACTTTCGGTCTGGTTTCGGTTTTGGCCGAAACCAGAAATTCAGTTTCGGTCAGCCTCTAGGCGTCGGCCATCCACCCCCTCGTGTGCCGTGCTGGCCTGCATAGGTGCTCACTAACAGCACTCGCCCCAACATTCTGCTAAGGCTATACGAGGGGTCTCTGTCTTTGTGCGGACCTGCCAGGCCGAGAAGGAAGCCTTCTACGTGGTGGACCTGGGGGACATCGTGAGGAAGCACCTGCGCTGGCTCAGCACCCTTCCACGTGTGCGGCCCTTCTATGCTGTCAAGTGCAACAGCACTCAGACCATCGTGCACATCCTCGCCACGCTGGGTGCTGGCTTTGACTGCGCCAGCAAGGTACGTTGTGTTTGTGTGTGGTCAGTTTGTGTGTGGTCAGTGTGTGTGTGTGTGTTCTGCGTTTGGATGCCTTCGATGACCTGTCCCAGGTGCTGGCTAAGGTGCCACCTAGGGATAGAGTAATCGTGGTGGGTGACATTAATTCCCGAGTGGATCATGAAGCAGAAACCTCAGTTTAAGTAATTGGAAGGCATGGACCAGAGAAGCTCAATAACAGTAGGAGGCTGCTCGACTTAAGTGCAGCTTGTAATCGCCAAAGCACTGTTCAGGCATCAGCGCTTCCACACAACATCATGGATGCACACCGGGTCCAAACATCACTCTGAAAGGAGTTGGAGTCTGCTCCTGAATCTAGTGTGCCACTAAGCGGTGGGGCCTTACAATTTGCCTCGCCAAAGAAAAGCATCTTCTTTGGTATTTTATGTCATCAAACAATCTCCTTGAGTGATGGGGCATTTTTGGAGAGAGTGGAGGAGTTCATATACCTGGGAAATGTGCTTTTGACTCGTTCCAGTTTGGGAGCAGAGGTCACATTCCATATCAGTCAAGAGACGTGATCTTTTTATTGGTTACATAACGTTGTGTCGAAGCTGACTCGCCTTTTGCTACATATGTAGCCTGATATCTTATTGGTCATAGTTTTGCCCTCCCTGCTGTATGCTTAGAAATCGTGGACCTTTTTAAATGAACATCTGGCTAGGTCAAAACATTTAGGCTGGCTTCCCTGCGATCCACCCTGGGTTTATCCAGGCTGGATTGTGTGAGGAGCTCACAAATACTTGAAAGATCTGAACACGGTTCCATCAGTGAGCTCCTCCGGCAGGTGAGGCTGCATTTGCTAGCTCATGTAGCCCATATGCCCAGCCACCGTATGCCCAAGCAGCTTCTGTTTGGCTGGATAGAGGGGGCTAACCGGGCGCAGCACGGGCTAGAGGAGAGATGGCCTGATGTGGTATAAGAGGATGTGGAGCTGAGTGGACTTGCTGGTGACAGCTACTTGTGGTGTTAAAATCGGCTTCTGTGGCGGAGGCTCGTGAAGGATGCTGCCGGGCATTTAGAGGCATTCGCCCTCTAACAACAACGGAGGGCAAACGAGCGACGCTCACATCAACGATCGAAGCGCGAGACGGCTCGTAGCATTTTGACACAGTAGCGAAGCATAGCTGATGCATTTGTACGTCATCTCACTGACTCAGCCCATAACACCTTGGTCTGTTTTGTGACTTCCTGCCAGCGAGCCTTCGACACTTCACGTGGCCTCAAAGTGCACCTAGCGTGGCACAAGCGCCATGGTGACATCACCGCCAATGAGTGGCGAATGGCAGTTGCTGCTGCTGTGGAAACACTAATATTCTACTTTAAATATGACTGTTAGTTGATTTAAAAACTATTTGTAATTTTATCCATAAAAAGTTTCAACCCTTGATCAGGAACGTAACCCCCTATTGTAGCATTGTTCCTGTGGGAAAATGGGTCTCGACCTGCATCATTTCGACCTACGGCACATTTTCCAGTAATGTAACCTGGCGTAGGTCCGAGGACTGTCCGTACACACATAGCAAATAAAATCGCTGAATAAACTTGTCATGAAATTATAACCGTACATTTCATAACATTTACTCAAAATACCATATCATTTTTTTGTATTAATAATGAACCTTATTGCAAATTATGATCATAATTATTATTACATGGAGTATCTAATGACGATTATAAACACTGCTATTCATTTATGATGATTATCATGATGTTTTTTTCAGAATCAGAATCTTTATTTATATTGGAGGAATGCAATGAGCTATGAAGCTCTTTTTCACCGATGTCCAGTAGGGGCGGGTCAGAACGCTACAACAAAAACATACAAAAATAGATATGAGTGCAAAATACAGTAAAGGTGTACAAATCCCTGAATAATAAATACATTTTTAAAACATAGTGTATGAGTTAAAATTGCAATAATATATTAATTCCGTCAGATTTTTTTAAACATGACGATAACTCATTTAACCTGCATTTAATGGTTCGCGACAGTAGCGACACGCGAACAATAGTTGTTCGCAATAGTTGTTCGCGTGTTGATAATAGTTGCTCGTTCATGGTTGTTCGCGCGTGCAGGAGGAGATAGCGCTGGTGCAGAGCATTGGCGTGAGTGCTGACCGCATCATCTATGCAAACCCCTGCAAGCAAGCGTCGCACTTGCGCTACGCGGCCAAGTACGGCGTCGACCTCATGACGTTCGACAGCGATGCTGAGCTGCACAAGATCGCCCGCATCAACCCCAACGCCAGGTTGAAGGCAAACGCGAATGGATGGGCAAAATCGGCTTTGTGAACAAACTTTACTAATTCTAGATTTGAAGCTTTCGTGACTGCAAGGATCCATACTCTTAAATCACGACGTTTCTTTACTACTTTTTCACCTTGTAGACAGACGCATTGGATTGACGGATACGCAAGCTCTGCAACTTGGCCTTTTGCTGAGATTCATTGGCCTACCCGTGATTACGCATTTCAACGTGAACCAACATTGTGACTTTGACTTTGGGTATGGACACACAATTAACCTTTTCCTATATTTTGCACTTCTATACTGGACATCTGTGAAAAAAAGCTTCATAGCTCATCGGATTCTTCCAGTCGAAATAAAGATTCTGATACTGACTTCATTGATAAAACGATGGATGGACCGATGGATTTTCTGATTAGGATCAAACTAACTTAAGACTGAGTTGGGATCGCAGCTTGCTAGATCAGGGCTCCCCCAATGCCTTGTGTGAGCACGGAGCCAGCCACCCTCTGTGGAAGGTCGTGCCTGTTTTTAACTGCATTACTTTTTGCCTGCTGGGGTCTAGGCTGTGCCAGCTAACCCTGTGCTTTTCCTGTTTTCTCTTTCCATTTATTATTCACTTTTATTAATTCACGTTTTGTGTTCATAACTTTCCACCTGCTCCCACCCAATGTTTGGGCTTGCTTAGTCTACCGTGTGACTCCCTCCTGACCTCGACCTCTAGACCTCCACTACTGGGTGTCGTCCTTAGGCCTGCCCAGTGGTGCGAGGCTCTGCTGGGGCCTTACAGCTAAGGAGTCACGATGTGGAACGGTGGTTGATGGGGATCGCTCAATATCTCAAAGCATCGTTACCCACTTCATGCTGATGCTTCCCCACCCATATCACGCATCTTCTGATCCCTTCAGGCTCGTGTTAAGAATCCTCACCAACGACTCAAGGTCTGTGTACAGGATGAGCAATAAGTTCGGAGTCAGCCCCGAGTCGAGCCGTGAGCTGCTGGAGACGGCATTTGGCCTAGGTCTACTTGTCGTGGGGGTCAGGTGAGCGCAAAATTATGGAGTGTTTCGCGTCGTCGGTTATAACGGAGAGATATTTTGCATCGGCTGAACCACTTGCCACCTCCGTCTGTTGCCGTGGTGGTGTGTTCATCGTATCCAGTGCGTTCAAGATAATGGAAGGGTGGATGTTTTACAGTAAGTCGTCGTTTAACACGGTCGATGCGTTCATGAAAAGTGCCGCGTTAAGTGAAAAACATAATATAACGATAAAGTTTGGTGAGATACAATATACGCTCACACAGATGTATTGTTGTCAGTGATTTTGGTTATCGTGAAGCGGTCCCACTCCTTCCCCTATTGTTCCTGCCCACCACTACAACCTCTGTGGGGGCGCTCTCCACCCTACCCTTCCACACCCCCACCCTATTCTTCCACAGCACTGCCCAAACCAGCCCAACTCTGTGTTTGGGAGGGGGGGGATCGGGCCCACACAGAAGGGTTTAAAAAGTAAGAGGGTGGGTGCCTAGCAAGCAGGTGTCAATAAAGAGGAGGGGGTTAAGCCTATACAGGAAAGGGTGGAACCTAAGAGAGGAGCTTCCTAAAACAGAAGAGGGGGTGTGGTCTAAACAAGTGGACGGGGCCTAAAAAGGAAAGAACGGAACCTACGCAGGAAGGGGTGGGGACTAAAGAGGGAGAAGGGTCTAAAGGTAGGGGGTGGGACCTAAACAGGAAGCGGCGGGGCCTAAACAGGAAGGAGTTGGGCCACGGGAGAAAGTGGGTGGTGGTCTAAATAGGAGAGAGTGGGGCCTATAGAGGAAGGAGCGGGGCCTGAAGAGGTCATTCAAACAAGCCACGTCCCAAAATCTGCAAGCCTGCGGATCGCTAATAAAATTACAGCGACTTAAAAAAAGCTACAGTATTATGCATACAGAGGAGGAATGAGTGCTTCAACCATGACCATTAAGTAAAATGAAAACAATTAGGTTAAGTAAAATAAAGCAGGGGATCAAATACCGCAAAAAATATGTACAGGTGTGGCTACAGACCAACTAATTTTATTCATGATCTTTTTTTTAATAGCCAAGAGTCACTATAAGATGTGTAGTGAGTCCAACTGAGTCACAGACGTTATTCTTTAGAGGCAACGCATATATTATAATACGTATATACAAAGGGGTAACTGCCCATTTACCAGATACAGCCTCGGGTGGCGACCACCCAGCTAGCTACACTATAAGGAGGAGTTACAGCTAACAAGAGTCGGACCCTCACTCGGGTCTCGGCCACGTGTTGATGCCTTGTAGGACGTGGAGCTTCCAGCTTATAGAACGATGCGACCCCAGTCCCTCTCAGGGACCCACCTCATATCCTCCCGGGTCGGGGCTGGCTCCACCCAGGCCCCGCCCGCCTTCTCGAGCATTCTAGCTCCCTCTCGATCCCTCTAGAGAGCTTTCCCCGGACACGTGGTCACCCCCTAGCTCCCCCACCTGGGGCCCTCTCTGTGGACACTCCGGATCATGTGTCTACGGGGTCAACCAGAGTGCCATGGCCCAGGGAAACCCTGTCCCTGGGCTGACACGCTCCCGCTCCCCCTTGTGGGAGCCCGCACTACACGCTATGCGTGGTGCCCGCGATATCCAGTGCTCACCAAGCCCCACTCGGGCTGGTACTATACCCATCTACGGGGTGTACGCGATGAGGGTGCATTGCATGCCGTGCTCTAGTAAAGCCGGCATCACACAGCAACCCACCCAGTGCTCTCCGCGACGTAGGAACATCGTACGCCACGACCCTCCCGGGCCGGCACCAGTGACATCCCCGATGTCACTAAATCTGCATAAACATTACATTAACCAGACTTACCAATTGCATCTTAAAGCTATAACCTCTTCAATGTGTTGATGATCGCTCAATATTTTATTCAAGTAATTTTGCCTTTTTTGCTTCCACACAGTTTCCATGTTGGAAGCATCTGCAATGAGCCAGAAGCCTTTGCGCAATCCATTGCTGATGCCCGAAGGGTCTTCAACATCGCTGTAAGTTTACATGGCCGAGTGACACAGGAGGGCTTATAGTGTCCGTATCTGAGACATTAGGTTAAAATCTAAGGTGTCATCTGCCCGTGATTAAACTGGGTTCTCAAAGTGCAGCGAGGTAAAGGCCTCGGCAATGGCTGCACAAAAAAGAGCATCCTGTTGAAAGAAAGTGCTTTCTTCGCTTAATTATACAAAATTCCAGCAGACAAGTAAAACATCTCTATTTGTCGTGCATCAAGCACCAATTTTTGGTGCACTCCCTATTGTCTAAATGTAACAAGACCACTTGAAGGGTTTTTTGTATTGTGTAAATCTCAGATGGGCCACAGATACACGGCGAGATTGTTTTTATATTTTGTCTATTTGTCTCGTTGCATGATGCTGATCGTGCAGCGGGAATGAAAAGGATAAAAAAACATCAAAAATATGAATTCTAAAATAAATGTATACCTCTCTGTTGCTTCTATCGCCTGGGCCCCTCCATCTAGACAGAGCATCGCTCGGTGTTGAGATGGCTCTGCACCATGGGTAAAATTAAGTCCTCCTTGTGACCTTAATCGCACAGCTCTGTGTGGTGGCCTCACCAGCATTGGTCATTATAACCTCATGACCTGACTTCACTTAAATCTCGATTTAAAGCTTTCGTGATTGCAGGGATTCATCTCCTTGGTTCTTTTGGTAAAGTCACGTAGAAGGGAAATAATAAAATAATACAAATAAAACATAATAAAATAAAATTCTCACGACGTTTCGGCCACAACGCAAGCAGCCGTCCTCAGGTGAATAAACAGAGCTGTCGGAAAGACGGCGTCTTAATGAACACTGCTAAGCTTATATTCTTAGTTCTTTCGGTAAAGCATTTTATTATTTTGTTGTTTCCCTTCAACGTGACTTTACCGAAATAACTAAGAATATGAATTACTGCAGTCACGAAAGCTTTAAATCAAAACTGCTAAGCTTGGCAGCGTCTTTTAAGCTGGGTGGGAGGAGGAGAGAGCCTTGACAAAGGAGTTTACATATCAACAGAGGAATTTAGCATATTGATGACAAATGCAGATATGGGGTTAGACACTCCTTGCGGAATGTGTAGGCGGTGGGGGGTCTCAAAGTCATATTATGCTTGTGTGTTATGTAGGATTAGCAGTAATAAAGGGAGGGAAATTTTAATAATAAAGAACTGCAGCAGCCAAACCACCGAGTATCAAGCTAGTGCATTATGTGGAAAACAAAAAAGGAGTTTCTAAAGAACTACAAATACCCTACTACCATACAATAAACCGATGGAAAAAACTATATATAAACTACATCCATATAATCAATGTACTCAATATACTCTCCAATAAGCTGAGCTATTAACATAAAGTAACTGGGTATACACTATATAATGAATACATATAGTAAATTGATAAAAAAAAACTAAAATATAAACTACATCAATATTATCAATAAACTCAATATATTCTCCAATCAGCTGAGCTACTAACAATAAGTCACTATACATTTTATGTCGAAAAAAGTGGCGGTATCTTATCGTTAACACCACGGAAAGCGGCCAGTGTTGTTAAGACGGACGAGTCCATCTATGTTCGGAACGGAGGAGGGGGGAGAGAAGAAACATCCACGGTGTGCTACTCTGTCCTGTGCGGCGTTACAACTATGCGAAAAACTGGACTACTATACATTACAATATTATACCTTCCAATCTAAACTATACTGTATAATATCGTATACACAGCCCAATATAAACTCTAACATTATTGATTATATTGATATGCCTCCAAATAAACTTTTTTCTACATTAGACGACTATACACCGTAGTATACACTGCCATAGACAAACCCCACCATTGAATTATACAATGCGTTACTATACACATCCCTATACTTTAGACAATAATAATATTAGACTTGTAATATTACACTATGAATTATTCTACCAACCATACTGTATACCACACTGCTGTATATTCACTATAAAATTACGATACTATATATTGCCATATAAATTATATTAAACATTACACTACATTTTGATTTAAAGCTTTCGTGACTGCAGTAATTCATATTCTTAGCTCTTTCGGTAAAGTCACGTTGAAGGGAAACAATAAAATAAAATATATATAAAACAATACAAATTCTCACGATGTTTCGACCATAACACAAACAGTCGTCATCAGGTGTGTCGGTTTGCATTAATTTTTTTTAACGGTGTGTTTATTTATTTATAAAAACACGTCAGCGCCATGCGCAGCGATTTGGCAGTTTATTTAGAAGGACTAGTCCATCTATGTTCTGAAAAGAGGAGGGGGGAGACGAAAAATTAATGTATGCTGTCTGAAAGCCACCATAAGCGTGAACAATCAATTAAGACCTGAAATGGTTTATCAAATCCTTCCAATGATTGCTAAGCCAGAATCCATCTTCTCGATTGAAATTGTCTCTGTGCTTGTATATGTGGATAGCCTCATGAACGAATCTCTCATGGTAGCCAAATGGCTTACAAAGAACCTCTGTCTTGGAAAAGTCAATGTCATGTGAGCCTACTGAATTATAACAATGATCTGCCACGGCCGAGGTGTTGGTCCTACCGTGTTTAAGGTCTGCTTTGTGTTCACGAATGCGGTCCGAGACATGGCGTTTGGTTTCTCCAATGTAACTACTACCCCAGAGGCAACTTAGTTTGTAGACACCAGGGTACTGTATGTCCGGAATCACATCTTTTACAGACGGAACCAGATCATGGATTGTATGTAATGTGTTGAAACGGACCTGGATCTTGTGTTTAGCTATAACCGGAGATAGGGGGGAGCCCATTGGGGTGCCCTCAGTTTGTTTGTGGAAAGTTCCATTCCAAGTGAAGTATGTATTGGTTAAACAGTGTCTCACCAGGGGGGTACATCATTATGCAGTCCTTGATGAATCAAGTCTTCAATGATTGTGATGGTGTCAGGTACAGGAACATTTGTGAATAAGGAAACCACATCAAAACTGACACGCAGGTCGTCTGGGGACAGGGAAATACCCTTGATTGTCGATACCAGGTGAGTAGAGTTTAGTACCACAGCGGTGGGTTTTCCAGTAAAAGGCCGCAGGATTTCAGGCAAAAAACGAGCCAGTTTGTAGGTGGGGGAGTTGATAGCAGAGATAATGGGACGAAGGGGTGTATCTTCTTTATGTATCTTTGGAAGGCCATATAATCTTGGTGGCCTGGCTGCAGAAGGTTTCAACGAGAACTGTTTGGTTTGATCAATTAATGTGGTTGAATCAGAAATGATTTTGTTGGTTTTAATGACGAGGCTGTTGGTGGGGTCTCTTCTTATTTTTATATAGCTGCCATCGTTGAGTAGTTCCTGAATTTTGTTGTTATATTCTATTTTGTCCATGATGACAGTGGCATTGCCCTTGTCGGCTGAGAGGATGACAATGTCATCCCTCTTTTTTAATTGAGATAATTCAAAACGCTCATCTTTGCTGATGTTGCTAGCTGGCATCTTAGCATTTTTGAGGGTTGCAGCAATTTCAGATCTTGCTATGTCTACAGCGATGTGACCCAGGCCCTTGAGAGCCACGTCGACATGGGCAATGATATCATTAATTGGTATGTGTCTAGGTGTGACTGCAAAGTTTAGCCCTTTAGCTAAAACGGATTTCAGACCATCAGAAATAGAACTGTTACTGCGATTAATTACGACTTAAAATTTTGATTTAAAGCTTTCGTGACTGCAGGGATTCATATTCTTGGTTCTTTCGGTAAAGTCACGTAGAAGGGAAATAATAAAATAATACAAATAAAACATAACATAGATGGACTCGTCCGTCTGAACAACGCTCGCCACTTTCCGTGGTGCTAACGATAAGATACCGGCACTTTTTTCGACATAGAATTGTAATGTATAGTGACTTATTGTTAGTAGCTCAGCTGATTGGAGAGTATATTGAGTTTATTGATAATATTGATGTAGTTTATATTTTAGTTTTTTTTATCAATTTGCTATATGGTATTCATTATATAGTGTAGTGTATACCTAGTTACTTTATGTTAATAGCTCAGCTTATTGGAGAGTATATTGATTATATTGACGTAGTTTATATTTTTTTCCATCGGTTTATTGTATGGTAGTAGGGTATTTGTAGTTCTTTAGAAACTCCTTTTTTGTTTTCCACATAATGCACTAGCTTGATACTCGGTGGTTTGGCTGCTGCAGTTCTTTATTATTAAAATTTCCCTCCCTTTATTACTGCTAATCCTACATAACACACAAGCATAATATGACTTTGACACCCCCCACCGCCTACACATTCCACAAGGAGTGACTAACCCCATATCTGCATTTGTCATCAAAATGCTAAATTCCTCTGTTGATATGTAAACTCCTTTGTCAAGGCTCTCTCCTCCTCCCACCCAGCTTAAAAGACGCTGCCAAGCTTAGCAGTGTTCATTAAGATGCCGTCTTTCTGACAGCTCTGGTTCTTCACCTGAGGACGGCTGCTTACGTTGTGGCCGAAACATCGTGATTATTTTATTATGTTTTATTTTTATTATTTTATTATTTCCCTTCTACGTGACTTTACTGACTTCACTTGTTTGCCTAGAAATGTGGTCTGCTTTCAAACCTAAAGCGAAGTGTCCATTTGCAGGCTGACCTGGGAGTGAAACTAACCCTTTTGGACATTGGAGGAGGCTTTCCTGGTTACAATGAACATGTCAGGAATAACTTTGATGAGGTCAGTTCGTCGTGTGGAGGCCTTACACTGTGACTGATATTTTCGGATTTTCAAAGCAATACCTTTTGCGAGCAGTGGGCAGTAGCGGGCAGTGCATCAACTTTACCAACCCACACTGAGCAATGTGACCAGTGTGGTTTGAGCTATATGGTCAATTATCCTCAAGCACTACAAGGTGTGGAGGAGGCTCGTATTTATCCAGCAACTAATTGAAAAAGTGGGCTGTGCTTGCGTATGTACCCGTAGGTGGCATTGTCACAGAAGTTAGCGCACTGTGCTGTGAGTCTGGCAAGTTCAGATGAGTTCCATTCCTGATCACAGCTTACATCAATGACCGGTGAAATCTGATCCGGTTCTGGGAGCCAACCCCCTCGTTGGACGATCTACACTGACAAGTTTGGTTAAACGGCACATTGTGGCAGTGGTGGGGAACCTGCAGCCCGCACAGCCTCACACATCCCAAGGAGCCCCTCGAGTGTGTCAAGGGTTACGTGTATTGTCAGGATCAATGCACAAGCACGGTGTCAAGCTTGCAGCCCACTGAGGTGAAGGAGGCCTGCTCGTGTGACCCACTCACTCGTCTGGGTTGCCAATCGCTGCACTGTGGGGAGGGCCTTCAATCATGCAGTGGATTGACCAAGAGCTGCCAATAATTACTACTGTTTAATTCCCAATGATCAACCCAGCTTTTGGGGGTTGATAAATTGAGTATCAGCTTGTGGGAAGTCAACATTGGTCGACCTATGATGAGACTCTGCCTTACCATGGAAATGTGGAGTTTCCACCACTGGTTCGGGGTCTCCAACGGAAATGGGCGCCACCCCACTGCTCGATTCTGCAGTGAGACTGAGACTTTGGCCCACACTTTACCCTTTCTAGCAATGAAAGGTTAAAGCCTATTCTATTTTTCATCATTTAATAAAGGCAAAAAGGTCCCACTTTGGGAGTTTGTTGACCCAAGCAAAAATTATCTTTTGTCATAATGTTTTTGTGACCATTCGTTTTATTTCTGCTGCATTTTTCTTAATTGATAAATGAGCGACAAAGTGCTGAGCTGCCACGCCAACGTCGAGATCCTGGGTTCCAATCCAAGATTCGGCTGCCTTGCGATCTAAGCTATATAAACTGGGTGCTCAAGTGTTATGAGTCAATGGCCTTTGCGCCCAGTCACCAATGAAACAACAACAGCCGCCGCTGCAATTCGCCACTAAGTGGCAGCGACATCATGCTTGTGCCATACCAGGTGCACTCCAAGGCCACGTGAAGTGTCAAGACGGGACGAACCCGGGTGCCATTGTTTAACTAACTGATATGAATGGAAGTTGCATCACCTGTGACCCCTAATGTGCCAAGCAAAAATAATACAAAGAACCCTGTATAGCCTTAACAGATTATTGGGGCAAGTTGATGTTAGAAAGCACCTATGAAGGGGGTGGGTGGACAGCACCATGCCCAGCCACCTCCCTAGTGGCGATGTTTACACACTGCACCAGGTGCACATTTGAGGCTGAGTCGACCTAGGGGAGGCCCAGGACCGGTTCAGATAATCGTTACTGGTGTTAGCCATGACCGAGAATCGAACTCGGGTCGCCAAGTTCGTTGCATGGCACGCTAACCGCTACACTACCGCTCCCCACTGCCTCACTACTGTGCCAAACACACAAAAATGATCATCATTCCATTTGTCTGAATTCCAGCTCTTGCTAAAATGTGATTCAATTGACATTGAGAAACACTTTTCAGGGAAACATAAGCTGATCCAGGGCTGAGCTCCAGGAAACGTTATGTCGTGAGATAGCTCATCATTTGTGTATTCGCAGTGAATCCGGATTCACAAACCTACTTGCTCTACTTCCGTATGTGTCATATTTGTGTCACATACTTAAAAAGACACACGTAGACCCATCGGTGCACACAGATTCAGCAAGACAGAAGATTCCAAGTTATTTCCCAAAGTATTTCCTCTTGAGAATTATGAGTTTTGTGTAATTAAAGAACCAGGTGAAGTTGGTGGCAGTTTTTATTATCTAAATGCCTTAAAGACAAACTAAGACCAGGGTATGTATCTCCACATTGAATAGACATAATTATACCATCTCAATGAAAAAAATGAAACGGCTTTACTCTTTCCAGCAATAATACAAGAGGCGTTAAGATGTTCAAACACCAAATAGAAACATTTTGCAAGGAATCAAGTCTGCATGAACCACACATAGTACTTGTGGTGAACATGCAAACCAACATGCTCTGATAATATATGTATTATCTTTGAAACTGATTGGCCTACACCAGCAACGGCCTCCTTTATGGCACTGTCTCACCAATGTTCGTGTCCTCCAGTTTTTCACTCCATATTTATAATCAGCATGTAAGCCACTTAATTAGGCTATCATTTGTTGCCAGGTTGCTTCTGAAAAAGGGCTCTATAGCTCAGCATACCTTACCTGGTAAAATAAAAAAAATAGTAAATAATCAAATAGTGAAGTATTAGACCAGAGAACAATGCCAAAAAGGCGAACGCCACAAAGGCAATGAAAATATTGATGCATTAATAGCTCGGAACGGCGTAAAGCGTGTTCTTTTTTTTATTTTGATACCGGCAAAAAAGGGTCCCATTGATACGTCTCTCCACGCTTGCTCGCAGATCGCGGCCGTCGTGAACTCGGCACTGGACACGCATTTCCCCGCGGGCTGCGGCGTGAACATCATCAGTGAACCCGGCCGCTACTACGTCATGTCGGCGTTCACCCTGGCCACCAACGTCATCGGCAAGAAGACGCTCTTCAAACCGCTGGCCGACGGTGGTTGCACGTCCTCATTGGCAGAGAATGGCAAGGATCCAGGAAAAACCTCCCATAATCCATGATGCTCATTTTAATCGAGTCCATGACCCCAAACCAGATGTTTCACTTGTTGGTACCACCCGAGATAGCGTAGCTATTGCGGTTTCAATTCATTTATGGGGCAATTAACAGTTAATTATGTGATAACCGTTTGAAATTAGTGGGATTATTAAGTAATTTACTCTTTTTGTCCATTTGAAAAAAAACGGTACGAATAGGTAGTACCAATTTTTACTTCTTTATTACTTTTACTCTGACCCATGGACCATAATGAGGACATATCTAAACAAAAACCTCACCCATCGCGGGTTTTCCCCATCGCGGATTTAACCATTCGCGCCAAATTTATCGAGGGTAGTTTTCCTATCGCACCCCCGTGGCCTATCCATTCGTGGTTAAACGCGAGATTCCTGTACAGTATGCATCGTAAACAAGTACTGTACAGGTAACTCTAATTGCACTGCTTGCGATGATGCTGCCGCAGAAGAATACACATGAAACATATCTCCCACGCAACCCCCAAGTGGGTTCCAGGTCACGCGGTGTTCCTGGCGTCCAGTGAGGAGGCAGTGAGGTTCAGCTACCCGCGATTTTTTTCCTAAATTATTATTTTTCCATTTCTAGACATTTACTTTACAAGTTGCTGTATTTTTTATTTAAAGCTTTCGTGACTGCAGGGATTCATATTCTTGGTTCTTTCGGTAAAGTCACGTAGAAGGGAAACAATAAAATAAAAATATACAACAATAAAATTCTCACGACGTTTCGACTGCAACACAAGCAATCATCATTAGGTGTGAAAACCACAGCAGGAAAAATTGAAAAAAGTGGCTGTGGTTTTCACACCTGATGATGATTCCTTGTGTTGCAGTCGAAACGTCGTGATAATTTTATTGTTTTATATTTTTATTTTTCATAATAAAGGTTTTTGGATTAGATCACGTTATTTATAAATGTGTCGTAACCCTCCACCACCCAACACGGCCAATCGGCAAAAAAGTGTCACGTTGACAAAAGACAAATAGTTCACTAATTTAGCCCACCGGTGTGTTGAAGAGTGAATCCACATTTACAGTTTGAGTACGACGTTTCGCTGGTAATTACATCCAGCATCATCGGGCAATTCGCCAGAATGGTAAAGCCCTCACTTGCTCCCGGTCTTAAATAGAGCAGCAGGGTGACGTCATCATTTAACTCATTTCAGGTGCAGTGATTTGAGGCAGAGGGGGGGTATTGTAATTATATAATCGATTGGTAATCAGTCAATGGTTATGATTAGTAATGAGTTGTAGATTAGTAATTAGTTGTAATGTGTGTTATTGTGATTATATGCTACGTTAGTAATCCGTTAATTAGTATGTGTTTCCCCTATAATCCTAATGATATTCTGGTAAGTTTTGATGTGATTTCTCTATTCATTAAGGTTCCAGTGAACGAATCGCTTAAATTACTTGATACACTAGTAAAGCATACAGGTTTACCAAAAGATATTCCGAAACTTGCTGACCATTGTTTAAATAACACTTCTTATAGAGAGGGGATTTCTTTCAACAAAAAGGAGCAGCAATGGGCTCTCCTTTATCTCCTGCTATAGCAAATCTGTACATGGAAAACTTTGAAATAAGAGCACTTGCCTCGAGCACATTAAAACCATCTTTTTGGTTTAGATATGTGGATGACACTTTGGTTGTCTGGCCACATGGTAAAAATACACTTAATGATTTTCTAAATCATCTCAATGCACAACACCCGGCCATCCAGTTCACCATGGAAATGGAGGTGAATAACACACTCCCGTTCCTAGATATTTTTCTTGGACATGGCCTAAACGGTAAAATAACACACACCATTTACAGAAAGCAAATGCACACTGATGCCTATCTGAATGCAGATTCGCATCATCATCCAGCTCAGAAATCCTCTCTTATCAAGACCAGGGGCGGAGCCAGGGGGGTGACAGGGGTGGCATTCTGCGTATAAGTGTACAACACTCGGTCTGGCGGACTCCATGCAACTGCATTGTCAGAGTGTGTCGCCAACCGATGGCGTCTAGTTCAACAGCCTGACTCTCTAATCATTCTTGAAATTAAAATTTGTTGAATGTCACCCCGGCCTGAAATCCTGGCTCCGCCCCTGATCAAGACGCTCATATATCGGGCTAAAACAGTGTCAGATGGTGAAAGTCTAGTGAGAGAGATCAAACACGTTAAAGAAGCATTACGACAGAATGGCTACAATAATGCTCAAATTAACACAGCACTGAATGCCAAATCACGATCGCAAAGCAACACTGCTGAAAGCGATCAGATTGTTAAAACAATTAAAATCCCATATATCTCAGGAGTAACTGACAAATTAGCCCGTGTTTTGCAAAAGCAAAACATTACAGTAAGATTTGGTACAGTACACAAAATTCAAAAACTAGTATCTTGCACTAAAGACGAATTACCTAAATTATCAACAGAAGGTGTATATCGGATTGTTTATGTGGCAGATGCTATATTGGACAGACGGGACATAACATCAGCATAAAACTAAAAGAACACCAAAGAAATATTAAATTATCTCAAACACAACTGTCAGCAGTGGCAGAACATGTTTGTCAACAAGGACACTCAATTGATTTTGATAACGTTGAAGTGTTGTGTAAAACTAAGTATTACTGGCAAAGACTAATTAGAGAATCCATTGAAATTGAGAGAAATAGAAATAACTTTAATCGCTCTGACAGCTACAGGCTTAGTGCAGCCTGGAAGCGTATTATTAAATAATACATATTACAATTCCTTATAGGGGAAACACATACTAATTAACGGATTAGTAACGTAGCATATAATCACAATAACACACATTACAACTAATTACTAATCTACAACTCATTACTAATCATAACCATTGACTGATTACCAATCGATTATATAATTACAATACCCTCCGCCTCAAATCACTGCACCTGAATGAGTTAAATCATGACGTCACCCTGCTGCTCTATTTAAGACCGGGAGCAAGTGAGGGCTTTACCATTCTGGCGAATTGCCCGATGATGCTGGATGTAATTACCAGTGAAACATCGTACTCAAACTGTAAATGTTGTGGATTCACTCTTCAACACACCGGTGGGCTAAAGTGAACTATTTGTCTTTTGTCAACGTGACACTTTTTTGCTGATTGGCCGTGTCGGATGGTGGAGGGTTATGACACATTTATAAATAACGCTATCTAACCCAAAAACCTTTATTATGAATAATATTGGTCGCGAAAGCCTACGTGTTAAACTTATTTTTATTTTATTGTTTCCCTTCCACGTGACTTTACCAAAAGAACCAAGAATATAAGTTACTGTATATTTAACACTGTAAAAAAAAATCGAAATCACATTTTACATTGTAAATACTCCCTGTTTAATGGTTGGGTTGATGTAGAGCAGGGGGTCGGCAACCTGTGGCTCCGGAGCTGCATGCAGCTCTTTACGGACCACTTCGTAACATTACGTACGTGTAACAAACTCCGACAAGTAGGTTGAGTTGAAAAGGCGCGAGAAAATTGTATTATCTTCTGCAGCATGCATTCACTTCAACCTCCAACATCTAAAGCGCCCCGAGCCCTCTCCTCTCTCTTTCCTGCTATTTTCCACCCGTTTCTGTCCAACCAATCACTTCTCTCCTCCCTGTCCCTCATCACAACTCTTCGCGTCTCCCATTTGCTGCCGCGCACACCTTCCGATATCTCTCACCTTCCGCGTCGGGAGGTACGTCTGACGTCGTTCGTCTCCCTCCACCAATGGCGAGTGAGCTCATTCGTCAGTACGTTCTTCCAGCCAATAGGGCGCCATGTTGCTCGCTGGCTCCGCTGTCCCCATAATGCTCGCACATGTGTCTGACCGCCTCTCCGTTCGTGCAGGTAAATACTCTACACATACTTGATTTGAAGCTTTTGTGACTGCAGGAATTACTCTTTGGTTCTTTACGTGAATTTACCGAAAAAACCAAAGAGTACTCTATACATGTACGTATTCACATGCATTGTGGCTCTTAAAATATTGAGTTTTGTACCGAATTCGAAAAAAATGGCCCTCGTCATTTATGTTGCCAATCCCCTATGTAGGGTAACATAAAACAAAAGGAGAGGGCCGTGAGCCACAACCCCAATTGTTTTCCCATTTGCCTTTGCGGATCGCGGATTTGCCAATTGTGGCTATTTTGAAGAACGCAACCCCCGCGATGCGCAAGGGTTTGGTGTATATAAAACAGCGGACCATTTTAAATGAACTACAAATATGAACATTCAGTATGACGGTGTTCTAGAATATAAAGACTTGCATCTGAACAAAGCAACATTGGTGGATATAATTTCCCATGACAGGAAACCACCCCAAAACAGCAGAGGTTTAAAACGTAGACACTGCCATACAGACAGTAATGTTCAGTGAATCAAAATGCACGATGACGGGCAAAATGCAAGCCGCTATAACGCTTGTAGCGCCTTAACAATTAAGACAGCCGTGCAAATATCAATACATAGAAAAACAAATGCAAGATGAAAAAAACGTATCGCTAAAATAAACCGATAGCATTAATTTAAGAGTACCATTCGTGCTGGAACCATGTCGCAACGGAGCACTTGGAGGTGATTGGAGACGGTAAAATTCATAAACCCACAATTTACCAATTTTTTCACAATTCAGAGGGTGCTGCATGCGACGAGACATTCGAGCCCCCGTTTTGCGTACAGGCTGTAGACAGGGGGTGAGGTATGACCAAGGCTCCTTGGGTTTGGCAGCCAACTTAACGACTTGGGAGAGATTACAAGCACATCTGTTTGTGACTGCTTTCTATGGGAACTGCGGTCATCCTTGCAGCGGCTTTTGGCTAGCCATCGAACAAAGACGGTCACTGCATTGCGCGCTTTCAGATGTGCTCCTGCGGCCGTCTGGAACACTCTTCCGATATTAGGAAGCCATTGGAGCAATGCACTTTTAAATCTAGATTGAAAATTAATTTCTTTCCAACTGAATTTTGTGTTTAGTGTGTTGTCCTTCCCTCACCCCCACACCTCTGAATAGCACGATTGGCTACGTCCGGTGCGAAATAAGTCTTACATACATACATGTGAACATAGCCCAATGACCGTTTCTGCCGATGTTCAGGGGTTTATTTGTACGTTGGATTCAACCGTCAACAGGCAGCGCCGCTGCATGGTGGACGGCGAAGATCCCGTAATGTTACTCGATAAAGAGTGGCCCGATGTGTGCCATATTTAAATGTTACTCGCACAATTACCCGGTTGGGTAAAGCCATCAAGCAACGGTGGCCCCTTACCCCATGAAATTGACTCCCTCAATGACATGGCGCCTTGGCAAAGGCCGAGAGCTGTGAGAAAAGCACAAGTGCTCAACGTGCAAAATGATTTTACTTTTATTCGCCCCACAGGTGTTGGGGAGCCCGTGTACATGTACTACATGAATGATGGAATCCATGGCTCCTTCCAGCACGTTATCCACGACATCGAAGAGGTGGTCACAGAGGCACTAAAAGTAACGCACCGCACCGACAAGATCGGGTCCATCACAAACACGCACGGCTGTACTTGGTTCAATCGAAATTTGTGGTACCTTCGCAGAAACTATTTTATTCGGAAGCCACTGGAGCTATGCACTTTGAAATCGTCAGGATTGAAAACCAATTTCTTTAGACAACCATGGACCATATCCTAAACCACTGCCCCACAAGTTCATTCAAAAGGAGTGAAGTTACACACACTGCCTCCACAAAGGCCAGGAATTGGCTCAATAACTAGACCTGAAAATCTAAATTGCTTTTTGATTGTTTATATTCAATAATGCTGATCTCATAAAAGAGCACAAACCATGCAAACTCCAGTCATCTTCACAGCGGCTTTTGGCTAGCCATCGAACAAAGACGGTCACTGCATCATGCGCTTCCAGATGTGCTTCTGCAGCTGTCTGGAACGCTCTTCTGATATTAGGAAGCCACTGGAGCTATGCACTTTTAAATCTAGATTGAAAACTCATTTCTTTCGAACTACTTTTTGTGCTTAGTTTGTTGTCCTTCCTCCCGCACTTCCGGTTAGCACGGTTGGCCTACGTACGGTGCGAAAGAAGTTCAACATACATACATGACAAGACAGCACTGTACGTACAGCACGAAAGAGGGAGAAGAAAATTAAATGGACAATATTGACAGTACTGACATTGTTGCTGTGTTTCCCATATATAAAATTAGGAAGACCGTGGCGCCGCCACACACGGCCTACTCTTTTTCCAATGATGTTACGGGATATTTCGCGTGCACTGTGAAGCGAATGGTGTGTAATATTTCCAAACCATTTTATTTTTTTTACCAGATATGGCCCACTGAGCTATATAGCTCTTTTGCAGAAGAGACCTAGCCAAAATTCATAGCTCAGTGAAGCGGCTCATAGTGTGGAAATTTATAGCAGCCAAATAATGTAAACGAATGTTAATTATAAATGTGGAGGAAAAAAAACCGGAGGACCTAGGGTAAAATACACAGCAGCAGGCGTCAGGGTCGGAATCAAACCCACAACCTCCTGTATACCAGGCGAGGTAGTTAACATCTCGCCGCCGCAGTATAACCAGGGAGGACGTGGGGTGAAACCGCAAAAACGTCTGCAACAAGCGGCAAATGCACTGAGGGCTCAACTTTGTCACCGTCTCGGAGTGCACGACGGACAAAAGCAGACCGTATCCGTCACTCATTCCGGTCGGCATTTTAATCATCGACCGTGTCGTTTCCAACTCCCTTGAGCTGCGGCGTTGGATCTGCGGGTCTCTGTGTAAAATGATGATGTAACGAGGACCGAAAGACCTGCTGGACCTTCCCTAAACACAGGGAAGGTCCAAGCAGCTGCGACGGCCGATCTTAGGGATGACGAGTTGTCTCTGGTGGCCCAGCAAAGTGCCCGGGGCTCCAATGCCTCTACCCAGCCCGAACTCCTCACGCCTCAGCGCTGTCGGCGGGCGTCTTCCTTTCATCGTGTCTCCCTGCTGTGCAGCCCGTGGGCCCCGAGGAGCCGGTATTGGAGTCGTCACTGTGGGGCCCCTCTTGCGATGGTTACGACTGCGTGGTGAAGCGCATGCCGCTGCCGGAGATGCACGTGGACGACTGGCTGCTGTTCCGCAACATGGGCGCGTACACCCTGGCCATGTCCACGGAGTTCAACGGATTCCGCAGGCCCATGTTGCACTATGTGATCCGCAAAACCGAATGGTAAAGCCCAGGGAGATGATAATGCCGTAGTAGTAGCAGTAGCAGTCATCGTCGTAACAATGAGAATCTTTTGATTTAAAGCTTTCGTGACTGCAGTAATTCATATTCTTAGCTCGTTCGGTGAAGTCACGTTGAAGGGAAACAATAAAATAATAAATAAAAATATATATTTTTGTTTATATATATTTTATTATTTTATTGTTTCCCTTCAACGTTACTTTACCGAAAGAGCTAAGAATGAGAATCTTACCTATGAAAGTCATTTTTTTATCTGTCTGTCTGCACGTGCAACGCCTTGCAACGCTTTTAACTGACAAATTGTTGGGTTTCACGTTTCAACAAAGTACACAGATACAACACACTAAGCCCCTGAACGAAAACACGCTTTTTGTTTTTTTTCCCCTCCGTTAAATGTAAACTAATTAAATCACACTTTATAACTTTATTATTACGCTGATTGCGGCTCCAAAGCACGCGTCTGCGCATGCGTGGAAACGCCGGCTCGCGGTTGCCCCTGGCAACGCACACGAGCTCGCTCAGCGGCGACGTGAGGGAGCTGCTCCACGTTAAAAAGGCGAAAAATACAAAAAATATATATAGCATAGTTACTGCTATATAGTTGCTGCTATATAGCTGGCTGTCTATATAGCTGGCTAATTATATAGCTGGCTGTCGATATAGCTGGCTGTCTATATAGCTGGCTGTCGATATAGCTGGCTAATTATATAGCTGGCTAATTATATAGCTGACTGACTATATAGCTGGCTGTCTATATAGCTGACTGACTATATAGCGATGACTGACTATATAGCTGGCTGTCTATATAGCTGGCTGACTCTATAGCTGACTGACTATATAGCTGGCTGTCTATATAGCTGGCTGTCTATATAGCTGACTGACTATATAGCTGGCTGACTATATAGCTGTTTGACTATATAGCTGGCTGACTAGATAGCTGGCCGTCTATATAGCTGACTGACTATATAGCTGACTGACTATATAGCTGGCTGTCTATATAGCTGGCTGTCTATATAGCTGGCTGTCTATATAGCTGACTCACTATATAGCTGACTGACTATATAGTTGACTGACGATATAGCTGGCTGACTATATAGCTTGACTATATAGCTGGCTGACTATATAGCTGGCTGTCTATATAGCTGGCTGTCTATATAGCTGACTGACTATATAGCTGGCTGACTATATAGCTTGCTGACTATATAGCTGGCTGTCTATATAGCTGGCTGACTATATAGCTGGTTGACTATATAGCTGGCTGACTATATAGCTGGCTGACTATATAGCTGGCAGTCTATATAGCTGGCTGTCTATATAGCTGACTGACTATATAGCTTGCTGACTATATAGCTGGCTGTCTATATAGCTGACTGACTATATAGCTGACTGACTATATAGCTGGTTGACTATATAGCTGGCTGACTATATAGCTGGCTGTCTATATAGCTGGCTGTCTATATAGCTGACTGACTATATAGCTGGCTGACTATATAGCTGGTTGACTATATAGCTGGCTGACTAGATAGCTGGCCGTCTATATAGCTGACTGACTATATAGCTGACTGACTATATAGCTGGCTGTCTATATAGCTGGCTGTCTATATAGCTGGCTGTCTATATAGCTGACTCACTATATAGCTGACTGACTATATAGTTGACTGACGATATAGCTGGCTGACTATATAGCTTGACTATATAGCTGGCTGACTATATAGCTGGCTGTCTATATAGCTGGCTGTCTATATAGCTGACTGACTATATAGCTGGCTGACTATATAGCTTGCTGACTATATAGCTGGCTGTCTATATAGCTGGCTGACTATATAGCTGGTTGACTATATAGCTGGCTGACTATATAGCTGACTGACTATATAGTGGGCTGTCTATATAGCTGGCTGTCTATATAGCTGATGGACTATATAGCTTGCTGACTATATAGCTGGCTGTCTATATAGCTGACTGACTATATAGCTGACTGACTATATAGCTGGTTGACTATATAGCTGGCTGACTATATAGCTGGCTGTCTATATAGCTGACGGACTATATAGATGACTGACTATATAGCTGGCTGTCTATATAGCTGACTGACTATATAGCTGGCTGGCTATATAGCTGACTGACTATATAGCTGACTGACTATATAGCTGGCTGTCTATATAGCTGACTGACTATATAGCTGGTTGACTATATAGCTGGCTGACTATATAGCTGACTGCCTATATAGCTGGCTGACTATATAGCTGGCTGACTATATAGCTGACTGACTATATAGCTGGCTGTCTATATAGCTGACTGACTATATAGCTGGTTGACTATATAGCTGGCTGACTTATAGCTGACTGACTATATAGCTGGCTGACTATATAGCTGGCTGACTATATAGCTGGCTGTCTATAGCTGGCTGTCTATATAGCTGACTGACTATATAGCTGACTGACTATATAGCTGGCTGACTATATAGTTGGTTGACTATATAGCTGACTGACTATATAGCTGGCTGTCTATATAGCTGACTGACTATATAGCTGGCTGACTATATAGCTGGTTGACTATATAGCTGGCTGACTATATAGCTGACTGACTATATAGCTGGCTGACTATATAGCTGGTTGACTATATAGCTGACTGACTATATAGCTGGCTGACTATATAGCTGGTTGTCTATATAGCTGGCTGACTATATAGCTGACTGACTATATAGCTGGCTGACTATATAGCTGACTGACTATATAGCAATGACTGACTATATAGCTGGCTGACTATATAGCTGACTGACTATATAGTGATGACTGACTATATAGCTGACTGACTATATAGCTGACTGACTATATAGTGATGACTGACTATATAGCTGACTGACTATATAGCTGACTGACTATATAGTGATGACTGACTATATAGCTGACTGACTATATAGCTGGCTGACTATATAGCTGACTGACTATATAGCTGGCTGACTATATAGCTGGTTGACTATATAGCTGACTGACTATATAGCTGGCTGACTATATAGCTCGTTGTCTATATAGCTGGCTGACTATATAGCTGACTGACTATATAGCTGGCTGACTATATAGCTGGCTGACTATATAGCAATGACTGACTATATAGCTGGCTGACTATATAGCTGACTGACTATATAGTGATGACTGACTATATAGCTGACTGACTATATAGCTGACTGACTATATAGTGATGACTGACTATATAGCTGACTGACTATATAGCTGACTGACTATATAGTGATGACTGACTATATAGCTGACTGACTATATAGCTGGCTGACTATATAGCTGACTGACTATATAGCTGGCTGACTATATAGCTGACTGACTATATAGCTGACTGACTGTATAGCTGGCTGACTAGCTGGCTGACTATATAGCTGGTTGACTATATAGCTGGCTGACTATATAGCTGGCTGTCTATATAGCTGGCTGACTATATAGCTGACTGACTATATAGCTGACTGACTATATAGCTGGCTGACTATATAGCGATGACTGACTATATAGCTGGCTGACTATATAGCTGGCTGACTATATAGCGATGACTGACTATATAGCTGGCTGACTATATTGATGACTGACTATATAGCTGGCTGACTATATAGCTGGCTGACTATATAGCGATGACTGACTATATAGCTGGTTGACTATATAGCTGGCTGACTATATAGCTGGCTGTCTATATAGCTGACTGACTATATAGCTGACTGACTATATAGCTGGCTGTCTATATAGCTGACTGACTATATAGCTGGCTGACTATATAGCTGACTGACTATATAGCTGACTGACTATATAGCTGGCTGTCTATATAGCTGACTGACTATATAGCTGGTTGACTATATAGCTGACTGACTATATAGCTGGCTGACTATATAGCTGGCTGTCTATATAGCTGGCTGACTATATAGCTGACTGACTATATAGCTGGCTGACTATATAGCTGGCTGTCTATATAGCTGGCTGACTATATAGCTGACTGACTATATAGCTGGCTGACTATATAGCTGGCTGACCATATAGCAATGACTGACTATATAGCTGGCTGACTATATAGCTGACTGACTATATAGTGATGACTGACTATATAGCTGACTGACTATATAGCTGACTGACTATATAGCTGGCTGTCTATATAGCTGACTGACTATATAGCTGGCTGTCTATAGCTGGCTGTCTATATAGCTGACTGACTATATAGCTGACTGACTATATAGCTGGCTGACTATATAGTTGGTTGACTATATAGCTGACTGACTATATAGCTGGCTGTCTATATAGCTGACTGACTATATAGCTGGCTGACTATATAGCTGGTTGACTATATAGCTGGCTGACTATATAGCTGACTGACTATATAGCTGGCTGACTATATAGCTGGTTGACTATATAGCTGACTGACTATATAGCTGGCTGACTATATAGCTGGTTGTCTATATAGCTGGCTGACTGTATAGCTGACTGACTATATAGCTGGCTGACTATATAGCTAGCTGACTATATAGCAATGACTGACTATATAGCTGGCTGACTATATAGCTGACTGACTATATAGTGATGACTGACTATATAGCTGACTGACTATATAGCTGGCTGACTATATAGCTGACTGACTATATAGCTGGCTGACTATATAGCTGACTGACTATATAGCTGACTGACTGTATGGCTGGCTGACTAGCTGGCTGACTATATAGCTGGTTGACTATATAGCTGGCTGACTATATAGCTGGCTATCTATATAGCTGGCTGACTATATAGCTGACTGACTATATAGCTGACTGACTATATAGCGATGACTGACTATATAGCTGGCTGACTATATAGCTGGCTGACTATATAGCTGGTTGACTATATAGCTGGCTGACTATATAGCTGGCTATCTATATAGCTGACTGACTATATAGCTGGCTGTCTATATAGCTGACTGACTATATAGCTGGCTGACTATATAGCTGGTTGACTATATAGCTGGCTGACTATATAGCTGACTGACTATATAGCTGGCTGACTATATAGCTGGTTGACTATATAGCTGACTGACTATATAGCTGGCTGACTATATAGCTGGTTGTCTATATAGCTGGCTGACTGTATAGCTGACTGACTATATAGCTGGCTGACTATATAGCTAGCTGACTATATAGCAATGACTGACTATATAGCTGGCTGACTATATAGCTGACTGACTATATAGTGATGACTGACTATATAGCTGACTGACTATATAGCTGGCTGACTATATAGCTGACTGACTATATAGCTGGCTGACTATATAGCTGACTGACTATATAGCTGACTGACTGTATGGCTGGCTGACTAGCTGGCTGACTATATAGCTGGTTGACTATATAGCTGGCTGACTATATAGCTGGCTATCTATATAGCTGGCTGACTATATAGCTGACTGACTATATAGCTGACTGACTATATATCTGGCTGACTATATAGCGATGACTGACTATATAGCTGGCTGACTATATAGCTGGCTGACTATATAGCGATGACTGACTATATAGCTGGCTGACTATATTGATGACTGACTATATAGCTGGCTGACTATATAGCTGGCTGACTATATAGCGATGACTGACTATATAGCTGGCTGACTATATAGCTGGCTAACTATATAGCGATGACGGCGCTGACTGACTATATAGCTGGTTGACTATATAGTGATGACTGACTAGTTAGTAGAGACTACTGTAGCGTCAGTAGATACTACTCTAGAGTCAGTAGTTACTACTATAGAGTCAGTACATACTACTGCCGTCAGTAGATACCACTACAGTCGGCATATACTGCTGCAGAGTCCATATACACTGCTATAGAGTCAAAAGATAATGCTACAGAGTCAGCAGATACTACTATAGAGTTAGTAGTTACTACTATAGTCAGAGGATACTTCTATAGAGTCAATAGATACTACTATAGATTCAGTATATACTACTACAGTCAGTATATGCTGCGGCAGAGTCAGTAGATATGACTATAGAATCAGTAGATACTGCTATAGAATCAGCATATACTACTATAGAGTTAATAGTTACTACTATAGTCAGTAGATGCTACTGTAGAGTCGGTATATACCACTGTAGAGTCAGTAGATACTCTGTAGAGTCGGTATATACTACTACAGTCAGTAGATACCACTACAGTTAGTATATGCTGCTGCAGAGTCAGTAGATATGACTATAGAATCAGCAGATACTGCTATAGAGTCAGCAGATACTGCTATAGAGTCCATAGATACTACTATAGAGTCGGTAGATATGTCTACAGCCAGTATATACTGCTGCAGAGTCAGTAGCTACGACTATAGATACGGATACTGCTATAGTCAGCAGATACTGCTATAAAGTCAGCAGATACTACTATACAGTTAGTAGTTACTATTATATTCAGATACTATTATAGAGTGAAAATATACTACTATAGATTCAGTAGATACTACTATAGTCATTAGATGCTACTGTAGAGTCAGTAGTTACTACTATAGAGTCGGTAGATACTACTTTAGTCAGTAGATACTACTACGGTCAGTAGATACTACTACTTTCAGCAGATACTACTACGGTCAGTAGATACTACTATACAATCATTAGATACGACTTTACAGTCAGTAGATACTACTGTACTCAGATACTACTGTAGAGTCAGTAGATATTACTATAGTAAAAAAAATACTACTGTAGTCAGTAGATACTATTACACTCAGTTGATACTACTATAGTTAGATACTACTGGAGAGTTGGTAGATACTACTATACAGTTAGTAGTTACTACTACAGTCCATAGATACTACTATACAGTCAGTAGATACTTCTATAGAGTCAGTAGATATTACTATAGTAAAAAAAATACTACTGTAGTCAGTAGATACTATTACACTCAGTTGATACTACTATAGTTAGATACTACTGGAGAGTTGGTAGATACTACTATACAGTTAGTAGTTACTACTACAGTCCATAGATACTACTCTACAGTCAGTAGATACAACTACAGAGTCAGCAGGTACTGTTATAGAGTCAGTAGATACTACTATAGTCAATAGATACTACTATCGAGTCAGGTAGATACGACTGTAGAGCCAGATACTACTATAGCGTCACTAGATACTACTGACTATTGTATGTAGGGTGTGTAGATATATATGCCTACAGGGGGATAAAAAATATTTTTTTGAGGGAGGGGGGATCGACAATTTTGGAAATCTTTTAGATCAACTATTTACCCCCTACTTTCTATTACTTTTCGATTCAGGACTTCTGCAAGCCTCTTATAATTTTGTTGACGGAAAAATTGACAAACAAACGGAACTCCGGGCTAACACATAGTTTCATATTTGTGTATGTATCTGTTATGTTTTTTTAAGAGAAGACAAGTTTAGAAATATATATTTCCCCCAGCAAAGTCGGGTACTTCCTGCTAGTTATTTATATTCTTGCGAATGATGGCAGCAACATGGTTCAGGACCTCAATGCCAATGTTGAAGTCTGCTGGCCACGAGAGGGCTTCAAGAGAGAGTTAGTGTAGTTGTGCTACTCTGTCATTGAGGGATCGTAGACCACAATGGTGTGCTCACATGTTGGTTCACTCGTAGACCTCGTTTTATTGGTTTCTGGCTCTTAAATTGGCCTTTTTTTGCATTTAGCTCGACCGATCACACCTCGATTTTGACGAATACCAATTACTTGCCCTTACAGCAAAGGCTGGATGAAATAATCTTTTGCCGTGTTCGTATGTGTGTCCAGGACTTTGCTGACAGCGCTGTGTACAGAAGATAAGTTGAGTCCATCCCTCGGCTTTTGAACTTTCAACGCATCACGTAGATCACTTGATTTAATCCACGTTCTTTTAGTTTTAACCGGGTGGTGAAAATTATAGACACTGTTTGGTTTAATTTGCAAGATTTACCTGGATCACCAAAATATCAAAATCTAAATAAAATAAAACAATTAAAGGGGAATAAAAATCGGAGCAAAATTAACTGAGTCATGATGTGAGAAAAAAACTAGATATATCGCACAAACATAAATCAAGTGTAACAAATATTCCTTGTAGTGTGAATCTTTTTGGGTGGATTAGATTATTTTATACCGATCATAGTACAATTACAAATTAAGTTACAGAAACATTAAACAGAAATAGGGTTGTACTAATATGAAAATTCACACTTGCACACACATACAAAGACATCTCCTCTATATAGCCTTTTAACAGTGTTGGCGCAAGTGCTCTTAGCGAGCATCTTTTAAGGCTGGTATGGCGCACGGGAGGGTGGGTGGCCAATGCCACGCCTGGCCATATTTTGTCTCCCCAGTGCTGATGTTTTTATACATCAGAATCAGTACTAATTTGAGGCCGAGTCGACCTAGGGGAGGCCGAGGACCGATTCAGATAATCGTCATCGGTGTTGGCCATGAGCGGGAATCGAACTCGGTTCACCGGGTTCGTAGGACAGCACAGCGCGCTAATCACTAAACACTACTGTCGCTGGGTTTGTCTCGCAGTGCCCTCAACAACGCACTGCTGCTCCCCACACAACAACAACAACCGCCATTCGCCACTAAGTGGCGGTGACGTCACCACGATGCTTGTGCCAGGCTATGTGCACCTTGAGGCCACGTGAAGTGTCGAACACCCGCCGGCAGGAGGTCACGGGGCGGACCCAGATGCCACAGGTCGACTGACTGAGACGACTGGCTGATGCACCACCTGTGCCCCTTACTGTGCCAACTTGCTGTGCTTTAGCCAGCCGGCACTCCGCTCATTGTTGTGAGCGTCGCTCCTCCGTCCTCCGTTGTTGTTGGAGGGCGACTGCCTCCAACTGCCCAGTAGCGTCCTTCACGAGCCTCCTCCACAGAGGCCGATCTTGAAACCGCTGGTACCAGTCATCGGCAAGTCCACTCAGCTCCACGTCCTCCTGTACCACATGTTGGATATATAGGCCTTTTTCCAAAATTGATATTAATAATATTTGCCGATATTTTTAAAATAATAATCGATAAATAAATAAACACCCTCAAACCGACAAGAATCAACACCCAGAAGCCAAGCAGCTGGAGGTCGTAAAAGGCCATTAAATAATCAACTCCGGGGCAAAAGGGGGGATATAGACCCCCCCTCCCCTCACACACAACAGGCCACCAGGAAATAATAAAAAGTAAACCAAATCAAAGAGGAAAAAAGGGGGGGGGGGAATTACTAACGAAGCTCGAGGGGAATTCCAGGCTTCAAAGCTCCATCTTGGAGCTCCCAGACAATCAGACGCCACGCACAGGCGAGTTCTCAAACAATTTTCCCCTTCGTTGCTATTAATGCAACGGTTAAACTTCACAACTTAGCAACAAATGAGTCGACATTATAAAGAATCCACACACTCACTAAGAAAAACCAGACTACAATCTACATAGCAGGTTATTACTTCACATACATAATATTAACACTAACGTTATTCACCTTAAATTACATTACATCTTGCCGTTACATGACCTTACAAAAACCAAGGAATATCAATTCCAACAGTCAGGAAACTTACCTCTTAAACTCAGGACATCAAAAATAAATTAACATAAATAATAACTCAAGCATAACAGCACAGATCCCTGGATTTAGACGGGGAGCAAAAGTTAATAAAACCCTTGAAATACCGGAGGTAACATCTAATGATGACAATGTTAAATCACAAATCTTTGGAAACGTGAGCCAAGATGATAACTGTGCAGTGTTAAACCAAGGGTTGTCCAGAGATTAAACGAGATGGGTCAAGCTTACACAACCAAGATAGACTGTGTCCCATAGGGAAGGAGCCTCCCAACCGTCTTTGTCTTCCCGCAGCACGGGAGAGCAAAGGAATGTAACACGCAGAGCGGGGGATATGACTCAGCAGGAGAGAGCTTTTATGGCTTGAGGAGGGCGACGGTGATCACAGGAAGAGACTCATATTACCTCAATAAATGACACACACACGGATACACGACAATCCATCCCCCCACAATGCAGAGCGAGATCAAAGAAAGTTCCGGTCCTTTGTGAGAAGCATGATGGAGTAAGCATCTGTTTTTTTCCTCTCGCAAGAGACGCGCAGAGGAGAGATTTTCGGATATAAACAGCAGCACGACACACACAGCTCAGCTCAACAATTCAGCTCAACAAGAGACAGCTCGGCGAGCGACAGAAGAGGGCAGAAAGCGGCAGACTCCGGGGTGGGCCCCGCAAACAACCGAGGATGGCGCGGCTTGCAGAGTAGCGATGTGTCACCAAGTGTGAGTTCAAAGCTGAAAGACAAAGTATCTCTGAAAGAGTTTTATTCTACATCGAGTGCCAGCTCCCAGCAGCAGCTGCAGCCCGAGAGAAAGAGTGACGAGCGATGAAAGCAATCGTCCACCGCGGGAGAGCACGCAGCAGGAGAGAGCGCGCAACCAGCGCAACCGACGCAACCAGCGCAACCAGCGCAACGAGCGCAGAAGCGCACCAAGCAAGAGTGCCAGCTACCAGCGGACAAGCATTGTGCCGACTCAGCTCATCCAGCAGGGGAAAGAGCCTGACCAGCCGCCCGTGAGCAAGAGTGTCAGCAGACCAGCGGCGAGCACGATCGAGCATCTTCAAGGACAAGCAACGTGCCGGCGCAGTCCCTCCAGCAGTGGAAAGAGCCTGTATCTGCCAGCGGTCGGGGCAGCTAAGCCGACGCCCCGAGCAAGAGAACGAAGCAGTTTGTATGACCCTCCCCCACACTCACACCCTCACGACGCATCACCCGGTGTCTGCTTTACAAAGACACACAACACGCATATCGGGACAAATCAAGAAGGGTTGCATTAAATATCAACTGATCGTGAAGAACATTGCTGCCCATTGAGTTACGTGGATACGGTCATTTAGAAGTATTTTTTTCGTTTTTTTTATTTTCTTTTTAATTGCATAATCTTGCCGATGAATCTATTGACGTATACTTTTGCCTTTGGGGTATAATAATTTGCTTTAAGGTTTTTGTTTAGAATATCGCTGCATGCCTGTGTTAAAGACTCTCCCTATCACCAACTAAGCTCGTGTTACGCGGTGGAATTAATCATATGTGCGGTTGCCAAAGTGAAACAACGCACCCATTGATGATTAAATGTACTGCTCACTGAAGGAAAATTCTCCGATGGTATCGGGGGTAATTCCAAGCATGAGAGTTTGCATATTATGGTGTTAAGGTTTTGTTTAGAAATTAAAATTGCTGAACACAGAAGAGTTTGAGTGTTTCTTTCCTGAGTTCATGCATAATAATCTTAATTATAAGAACTGTATCCTACGTTGAGATTTGCATTTTGAGACCTAACATAACACACTAATACATAATCAGTAAATGTTAAAGCGAGAATAATTGTATTATACCGATCGATAATACGAACCTAGACAACGAAGCCGAGTTGATCTGGCATAGTTGCAGCACACCTGCATAACTTCATACGATTAATTGTACGATCCCGATTGATGATGTACGATCTCGATTGATGATACGGCTCGCATTAGCATAATCGCATGCATCTGCATGATTTTAGACGATTATCTCTCGAATTAGCACAATTTATGTGCATAATTACGTAGATTACATTATTTCGGAAAATTAAGCATTTTTTGCTAATTTCATTTACATTTTATTATTTTAATCAAATTGTCAATACCCTGATATACAACACACATCACTCCATCTCTTCTCTAGCCCGTGCCGCGCCCATTTAGCCCCCTCGATCCGGCCAAACAAAAGCTGTTTGGGCATGCGGTGATTGGGCATGCGGGCTACATGGCCCAGCCAACGCAGCCTTGCCTGCCGGAGGAGATCACCAATGGGACTTTGTCCAATTCTTTCGAGGATTTGTGAGCTCCTCAAACAGTCCAGCCTAGTTAAACCCAGGATTGATCGTAGGCAGGCCAGCCTAAATGCTTCTAACCGGCGGAGATGTTCCATTAGGGGGGTCCACGTTTCGCAAGCATAGAGAAGGGAGGGAATGACTGTGGCCGAGAAGACCCAAAGCTTTGTGCGAGCGATAGACCAGGTAGCTTCCACACAGCGTTACGCAACCGATGAAAAGATAATGCCACTCGACTGATTCGGAGTGAGACCTCTGCTGTTAAACCGGAGCCGGTCATGAGCACACTGCCCAGGTATGGGAAACTCTCCACTCTCTCCACAACTGCCCCATCACCGATTGGGAGTTGTGGGGGTGGAGTGCCCGATGGTACAAAATACCCAGGCAGGTGCTTCGTTTTGGTGGGGCTGATAGTAAGGCCCCACCTCTTAGTGGCACACTCCAGTTTCAGCAGCAGCGCCTCCAACTCCTCCTCTGAGTGAGCCGCAATTACCAGGTCGTCGGCATACATAACGTGGTTGACAAATAGGGAGCCATCCCTTGACTGCACCCGGGCATCGATCAGCCTCCCATTGTATCTGTACCACACACACACAGACACACACGCACTTGCACAAACACAAGCCGTCCCAAGGGTACGGCGAATCGTGTCGACCGCCCCGGGGCCCTGTGCTTTGGGAATGGGCGTTTCGATGCCACGGTGTCAGATGTAAAATTTACGGTTCCCACAGCGTGATTTGCCCCGGGCCCCGCACCCTCTGTGGATGGCCCTGCACACCAAAGACAAACAACAAACAATGATCCCCCGTATAGCCTTAACAGACTATGGGGACAAGTGTCGTTCATGAGCACCTATGAAGGCCGGAACGGTACACGAGGGGGTGAGTGGCCACGCGCGACCGCCTTTGTCTCCCTCGTGGCGATGTTTACACACCAGGTACTCATTTGAGGCTGAGTCGACCTAGGGGAGGCCCAGGACCGGTTTAGATAAGTGACAATTATAATCGCTCACGATCAATACAAGTGACGATTATAATTGTGACGATCATAATCGTCACTGGTATTGACCGTGAGCGGGAATCGAACTCAGGTCGCCGGATTCGTAGCGCAGTGCACTGCTACAACAACCGCCATTCGCCACTAAGTGGTGGTGATGTCACCACGACACTTGTGCCAGGCTATGTGCATGTTGAGGCTATGTGAAGGGTCGAACGCCCGCGGGCAGGTCACGGGGCAGACTCAGGTGTCATGGGTCGACTGACTGAGATGATTCGCTGATGCACCACCTGTGCCCCCTACTGTGCCAACTTGCTGTGCTTTAGCCACTCGGCGCTCCGCTTGTTGTTGTGAGTGTCGCTCCTCCGTTGTTGTTGGGTGACTACCTCCAACTGCCCAGTAACGTCCTTCACGTGCCTCCTCCACAGAGGCCGATCTTGACACCGCTGGTACCAGTCATCGGCAAGTCCACTCAGCTCCACATCCTCCTG